AGTAGAGTGACGATCATTAGTAAACCTATCCACTTCATATATGGAGGAAGACACTTAATTAGTATGCAGGAAATCCAAATTAGTATGCAGGAAGACACTTATACATATTAATAAAGGGAATCCACTTTTTCCCCAGGTTATAACAATCGGTGACGTCATAGACTAGACCTAGCTAGACCGTGCTAGACACTAACGAGGCTTATCTTTGCTGAAGCCCTACTACTCTGAGTGCTATATAACAGATCAAATTGGATTCCACTCAGTTCTATAGATCGTTTTGACATGACGTCACGGCGGCTATATTGGTGTGCAAAACGATCTCTTACACGAAATAGAAGCTAGGATATGCTTCTCGCTAAAGAGAACTTGACTACATCTGGAAATTCAGTATAAAACTTTTCAATTTTTTTTTTGGTGAAGAAATATATTGGCCATAATGTTCTGTTTTTCTTCTAGTCTATTATCGTAAAGTTTTGAGTTCTTCTCCGGACGAGACTCCATGGAGCGTACACTTCGGCGTCGTGGTTGTGGAACTGATTAATTGTAAATGCGGAGGAATTTGTAAGAAATGAAATATGGTAAGAGTAAGGTGTTAATTTGTGAAATTATGGGATTTGTCAGGATATTCTGAAAAGGGTAAGATCCAAGAGGCCTACTTGCCAAAAACTAGCATTTCGGGGCAAATTGTCTCTGAGATGTTAGCCCAGTTATGCTCTGATGACTCCATACAAATCCTTCTAAATTTGACTTGGCTCTAAACGTATAGACCTAAGTCAAATATGAGGTTACTGGCGGTGAATAACAAGTCTCACAAAACAAACAGTGAAAAAAGAATTCTCTTTTTTTTTTAGTCACATTCAGGCTTAAAAAACATCATAGCAATCTCATGTACTGATTAAAGATATGTAAGGCATGGGTAAGGAGTCAATTATGTTGCGCACGGAATTGGCTAAAACTTAATGTTCCGAGTTCGAATGTTTTGAGGATAATTACTCACTGACTATCAGTACGCAGGGATGTCGGATTAACACAAGGAAGTTTAATACCAGAGGAACATAGCCTTTACAGAGCTTTAAAACACAGCATCCGCCAACACAAACTTGACTTGAACTTAAGTAAAACTAAACAGCCTCTGCCAATAATAACAAACTCTCACTTGAACTTCAGATATCTTACGGCTTCCACCAACTTGTAAACACAGAACTTGAAAATCGACCTTCGTCACGCTTGACTAAACACGGCAGTTCAGCTCGTGGGAAAAAACTTAGTTCTTCAAAAGAACTGGCTTGGAACTTGTATACCGGTTGACATAAGGTTCTAGAAAATACTAAACAGGCGAATAGTAGTAGCTTTTCGATATATTTTGTGATTTCAGTAACTGATGCAAATCTGTTGACTCATTCTGAAATGTAAACATGCCCTAATTAATTATTCATGATAATCCAAAAACGTACAGAACGTTCGAGAAGGTCACGCAACGCATGATTTTACTACGTAACACTCAACAAAGACAAAATGTCCTTGTGCAGCATTTTGTAACTTTAAATTCATCATAAAACAGTTCGAAAGGAGGGCTCACTCGTGAAATGTTTTTCAACACTCGAAGAGAAATTTCGTGTCTCTGCGCGGCCACGCAATGTCCTCTATTTATTCCTCGAGTAAATTAAAGACTAAACTCGAATTGATTTCAAGATATCCCGATCCAAAGTAGTCCGGTCTCATTTCGTGAAATAGCCAAAACAAGCCGAAAAGTCACGAACTTGCACGCCCAATCTTGTCCCGAAACTAGTGCATAATTTCATAACTATTTTTTATATCCCAAACTACCTTGGGTCCCATTAGCGCAATCGGCTAAACCCTCAACTTAGAGTCTCCTCTGATCCGACGGGTCACACACGTGAGTCGGTTCAAACCCCGAGAAAGCCAAAATAATAATTCTTTCTTCCTCGAAAAATTTAAGGAATAAATCAAAGAAATCGAAGTGATCTCGAGATATCTCGAACTAATTCGGCTCTCACTACGTCAAATAGCCGAATAAAACCGAAAACCTACAGACTTTGTGTGCCTAATCTTGTAAAAAAATAGTCAACTTTGACACATTCCTGAGCGTCGGGAATCCTTAACTTCGCGCTCCGCCGAAGTAACAAGCCGTAGCAAAGCTCTAATGCTTCCTGTAGAAAGGAATAAGAATGCTTTTTACTAGGTTCATGGCGTTTTCATTTGATCTTTCATGTGATCTTTTTTGTTTAGTCTTTCATTGTAAAACAACAGCTGAAAGAATAAAAATACCACGTCGACGAATCAGCGCTCGTTGACCAGAAGCCAAACAAATCTGCGCCATGAGTATGGAATTTTTAGGGCCGAATCGCAGACGTTTCTCAACTCCCCGCGAAACGTCCCCAGTGGCGAGGAGCCAAGAGAGACTGCTGCATTCGCAGGCTATCTTTCGTTTATTGATATCTTACGTTTTATCTTGTATCAGTTAAGGCTGGTACTGACCAAAATGTGTTATAAAAAAGCCTTGAAATTCAACTTTTATACATATATTTAGTG